GATTCAGCGTCTATGATTTCTCATTCTTAACCCTGTCGACCTAATACTTAGTAGTCGTCTGTATACTCACACCATAAGGGCTTCCAAGCGTTAAAGCATAGCCTCAGAGTTCACGTTTCCAATCCATAGAGTAGCACTGGAAAGATACAACAATGTCATTCGAACGCGAAGATCAATGCTAAAGTGGCTGCAAAGTACGTTCCTCATTTTTACAAATGTAGCTCAAGCTCGTTCTATTCGGCTTTTAAATTTTTTATTGTTTTATCCCAGCTCTCATTAATATTTCATGGCAGATTTCGTCTGCCAATCCATTTTCCTAGAAATATTTATTCGAGATATTTGCGAATTTCCCTTGCAGCTTTGCTCTAGTGGTCCAGCATTAACATATTGAATTTCTTTCTGGGCCATGAATTTAAAAACGTACTTAGGCAAAGAAACTTAATGTAAAGGCAGGCATCTTAAGAAATTGTATGTAAGCAAAATCTGATCGGTCATTATTCAAAAGGAAGGCTTTAAATAAGATGACTTGCTGATATATACATATTCTTGCCACTTTAAATTTGTTTTTTTATATTTTTTTGGCATTAAAATGCAATTATATCTAAAGACATTCTTCGAGTAAAACTAACTAACGGCAAATAACCTTTTATTTCCTAGAATTCTCTACTGGCACCTTGTCTTCTTACGACTGTGATCTGCCCAACTTTTTCTCGTAGTCTCAGTTGCTGTACACACGCCTGCTATCTCCTCTGCTTATCAACGTCTCTCGCACACACTATAGCCGCAATAGTCTCTCCAAAAGCACCTGGACCAAACTTATATCTCACAGGAACATAATTTCTTTCTAGTCAAAAGGATTTTCACTTAATCGACCACTTAGTACCAAATATACTATACACCTTATTACAGGATGTAATTTCGTTGTCCATTGCTACCAATCCTTGTGGTAACTTTCACTGCAGGATATGGAACAAAAGCAACTTTCTTCTTCCGACGTTCAAATAACAGTACATCTTCCTTTTTCCGGGGAAAACATGGCTTTCGTCACTTTAATCCCTTCTTCTCCTTTTCACCAATCAGACACACACATCCAACATTCCACGCCATTCCTTACGACCAATCAAATTCTTTTACTTACCAACATAAGCTTAATACTATTATGATATTACATAACCTTCGTATTTCCAAATTTTACATAAATAAGATATTTTCTTTATTTACAAGTTTTTAGAGCTAATACAGCTAATACTTCTTCGGTTATTGTATACTTATCCCGGACCACAAAACTTTCTAATTATATGTCCAATTTCTTTGTAAACAAAGACTACACCTTATATTCTAAAATTACTATCTTTGGGCTATTAACATTAATCGTTAATCAGAATGCGTCTATTGTTATCATATATTAACGTACAAATATATATTCTCCCATCTGCCTACTTTCTACTAAATTAGAAAAACCATTATTCAAATATTTGAATCGTGCAAATCTAATATCCCTATTTATAGGATAAAACGACTTTACCCGACGGTGAATTTAATTTTTTGGTAGATTTTAATAAATTTAAACCATAACAATATATAATATATGCATATATATTTATATATGTAGCAGTTTTCATATAAAAGGATTCATTAAAAAATTTATAATCTTTATTATTGATTCTAATCATTCCTATTGCTAAATATGTTTCAAAAATTCTCAGTGTATATTTCGTGTTAGTAGTGGCTACGAACAAACTTTTTAAACACGTCCGGTGTTAAAATCGCAACCTCAACATCAGCAGCAATTAAAAATGTGAATTGAAAGCGGTTATTGAAAGGTTATTATTGGTGGGGTCGTTTTATTGGGGAGTGAGAGGAGGAAGGGGTTACTATAGTCCTGCTTGAGTGTCATTAGGACACCCGGTGGTAGCAGAGGGTGGATCAAGCCCTTAATACCTCGCAGCTGTTTTGCAAAATCGATACTGTTAAGATATGAAATCATGCATAATGTATCTATTCCATAAAAATCTTTACAAAAGTAATGTGGTAATATAATTATAAAATATCGTGCAATGCTATGAATGATCAGTTTTTGTGTTCAAAATTTATGAGAGGATTTAAAATACAAGAACGTTACTTCTTCGCATATTATTTTTGGTGTCTTATACCTTATACTGCATATATATTTCGTTGGTAATGTTTTTTCTTATAATTGTATTTAATAAAAATAGTTTTAATTGTATTATAACTTATCTAACATTTAGATATAGGAAGTTTTAGTATTTTCCAAATCACAGTAGCCTTGGTCATGTGATTCTAATGTTTTGAAGATTCACTGCAACTCATTTTTGGGACATAATATATTTTCTTCCAAGCCTATTTATTTTGGTTTATTAGTGCTTAAAGAAATTATATTCTTCTTCTTCTTCCTCTTTATAAGCAATTCTGCTTGTTCATTGACGGATTAGTACCACTATGGAATGCCTTTACTTCTCTTTCGATCTCTCACGTATTTTTTGTAATTCTTCTCAGTCCTCTCATCTCTGCCGTGTTGAGTAGCCTTTGCGTTGTGGCTGTGTCGGTACGTGATCTCGTGGACTAGTCTTTGTAGACTATCTTCATCTTGGGCTATCAATACTGTGTTGTCTGCGCAACAGAATTTTTATTTCTTTGTTTCCCATCCTGTATCCCCTCCCTTTGTTAAAGCTTTTCTTGATTTCATCCATGATCAAATTGAAGAGCATGAAGCTCAATGAATCTCCTTGTCTTATTTCGCTGCCTATTTCTACAGGTTCAGTAGGTTGTCCTTATATTCTGACTTTCATTTTGTTATTTTGGTAGATGTTTTTAATAGTTTAATATTTAGGGGAACTTCTCTATTATACAGAAGATATATTACGTCTTTGAGTCTTACTATGACAAACGTTTTCTTTAGGTCAATCAGATACAGAAATGCTGGTCTATTATACTCTAGTGATTTCTCTGTAATTTGCTCTATAACGAATATTGCATCTGTACACGATCTTTCACTACGAAAACTCTGTTGTTCATCTGCTAAACTTATCCTCTGATTTATTAACACTTGTAAAATTGTAGTTGTAGGTTTTAGCGTATATAGCGTATTTACAAGCCCATATACAGATGAATTGGACCAAACCCAATATGCAAGACAATTTTATTTTGTCTTACCAGAGCTAAAGAAAGCTCTGGTTCATAAAGCGCTGTAGTGCCAATGTAATGATGATTTAATACTTTTATCAACTACAATATTGTAAAATAAACAAAAAGAAGAGTGAGACCTTCTTTTTCTTTCTATGTCTAAAGAATGTGTAACTGGACATTTGAAGACGATGTGGTTGAATATTTTTTCTGCAGCACTACATTTGTCACATACTGAGCTGGTGGTAGTACCCCGTTGACTCAGGGATTTGGTACAAACACCAGAATGATTTCATGTCCTCTTGGATTGCACTATTGACTGTGAGCCCATCCCATCCAGTGTTCATCAGATGTGAAATCTGCCATATTAGTAACAGTTTGTTTTTTGATGGTTCTCTGGATTTTAGTCTCAGTCGTCTTTGATCTAGTTTATCGATTAGGTGAAGTGATATTGCTAAGAACTAGGATTCATTGCATTTGCATAGGTTTTAAAGTTCCCGTTATGTGTCTCATTGTTTAGTTTAACTGAGAATCTAGACATTTATTTGGAGGCTGTTTAGTCAGAGAGGTGTGCAATATTCTGCAGTCCAGTACACCAAAGCTTATTCTGAATATATCTGCATTGATTATCCATGATGTATTTGCCAGCTTGTGAATTAAGTTGATTTGGCTGCAGTATGTTGCAAGTGTTTCTTAAATGCTAAGTTGCGATCTAGTTAAGTCGAGATACTTTATATAAGGATCGTACTAAGAATATTACTTTCGCACACTATATTACTTCCGCAGCCTCATGATTGTTAAGATGAAAATCAATGACTATGATCTTTGATGGATTCGGTGTCAAGCACCATTAGTATTTGTTTAGTGTTCAGATCTGCTGTTATAGTTGATTCTTCTTCGACTTTGCTTGATTCTTTTTCTGTTATGACTTTTTTTTAACTGAGAGTACTATGTCGCCATCATAGGTAACTTTGCGTCATACAGTAACTGAAACATTTAATGTGTAAATGTTAGCTTCTTCCTAGCGAAATTTCGTTTGATCTGAAGGGATATTTGGGTTTACAAACCGAGACAGTCTCATTCAGATTATTCTTTTAAATACCTTGTAGAATACTCTTAAAGTAGTGATTGGTCTATAGCTTCTCAGATAACTGAGAGGTCTAGCTCTAGTGTTTTCCTAGTTTACTCATTGCGATAATTTTACTTGTTTTGAATGTATTAGGCCACTTCATAATAATCATTAATCATTATTTGATAAATTCAAGAAGCCACTTATGTATTTTTGATCCCATGTGTTATATAAATTCGAGACCAATTTTTTAAGCAGTTACGGCTTTTCGGAATTTAATTACGTTTAATGCGTATGCTAGTTCATCAGATTCTATGGGCTTGTAGTGGCTTTGTTATGCAGTTTTAACAACTTTTAACTGATAACGAACTTTTTTCTTATGATTTTTTTCTATGTTTTGGAAGACTGGCGACTTCTTCTGGCTATGTCTTCTGGCTTGGGACCCATAGGGTTTGTTGTAAGGTTGTTTGAACCAGAATTCGTTTTTCTAAGGAGGTTCCATAGAATAGGCGACTGTGTGCACAATAAAGATTTTCTATAATTTATGTAGGAATAACTAAATATCACAAATTCTAGTATAATTATTACATATATAATATAAACCTTAAATTAATTAAATAATGAATTACTTACTATTATATATTTTCTCTTTCTTTTTTGAATTAAGAAATTACCTTGTTAGCTACTGTTAAAATATAAGATATGAAACATATAAAAATATTTTCAACTTTTTATTAAACAAATATTGATTTTTGTATCACATTTCAAATATTTTTTGTCTTAGCAGATGCAGATGGAGTGGAAGAGGATCCCCATCAAGACATTCTGACCTGCGGCGTCTGTCAAAAACCTTTCGCCCTCTCTGATATTGTCCGTTTTATTCAACACAAAGTGACATCCTGCAACAAAGAAAACTTCGGTCAGTGCTATACCAACAACGAAAAAGATAGAGATGGAGACGAGGGAAATTTACCACTTTCAACTATTAATACTAGGAGACCAAGCATATCAGCTCCAATTTCTGGTAAGCATGTTTTAAATAATTATTATATTCCTACAGTATTTTTAATACCTCATCAACAGTTATAAATTAGTGACATTTTGTATCTAATTAAATTTGCATTTATTTGGTTAATAAAACTGATCACACCATAACTAATTTAAAAAAAAAATATTTATATTTTCTTCTTCTTCTACTTAAAGTGGCCTCTCCTCAATTGAGGTTGGCTACTACAATTTTAAACTCTTCTCTATCTTCAGCTGTTCTTATTAGCTGTTCAAAATTTAGCCCTGTCCATTGTCGGATGTTTCTGAGCCACGATAGTCTTTTCCTTCCTAGACCTCTCTTTTCCTCGATTTTTCCTTTCACTATAAGTTGGGCATATTGGTACTTATTATTTCTCAGTATGTGGCCTAGGTATGATGTTTTTCTTACTTTTACTGCGTTAAAAAGTTCTCTTTCCTTGCCTATTCTATGCAGCACTTACTTGTTTGAGGTATGCAATGTCCATGAAATTTTGAGTATTCTCCGGTATATCCACATTTCGAAGGCCTCCAATTTATTTACGGTTGATGTTTTAAGGATCCACGTTTCAACTGCATATAGAAGAGTCGACCAGACGTAGCATTTTGATAAACGTAGTTGAATTTCGAGTTTTATTCGAGAATCACAAAGCAGTTTTTTTTAATTTTTCGAAAGATTTTCTGGTCTGTTCTATTCTCGATCTTATTTCTTGATCAGGATTTAGGCTGCTATCGATCCAACATCCCAGGTACTTAAATCTATTGACCTGTTCTAAGATGTGCCCATTTATTGTGTAAGGTTGAGGTACGTTTTGGTTTTTTCGGATTGACATCACTTTGGTTTTTTTAATGTTTATTTTCATACCAAATTGCTCACAGGTCGAGTTGGTCTTGTCGATGAGTCGTTGTAGACCTGAGTCGGAATCCGCAATTAACACTGTATCATCGGCGTATCTGATACTGTTGATATTTACGCCATTCACCTTGACTCCATCCTTGGAATCCTCCAATGCTTCTTTAAATAGAAACTCGGAGTAAAGATTAAACAGCAGAGGCGACAGAACACATTCTTGTCTAACTCCCTCCTAATTTCTACTTCTGCGGATGTGGAACCTTCGATCCTAACTCTGGCTTTTTGGTTCCAGTACAAGTTTTTTAAGAATTTGATCTCTTTCCATCCAAACCGACTTCTTGCAAACGTTCTAATAGTAGGTCGTGTCTTACTCTATCAAATGCTTTTTCGAAGTCTATAAAGCATATAAATATATCTTTCTGTTGGTCGTAGCATTTTTGGGCGAGAACTAGTAAACTGAACAGGGCTTGATGATCGTCTCCGATGATTGTTTCGCACTTTCTATAGATACGATTATGTACGATTTTTAGTAGGACTTTTACTGCATGACTCATAAGGCTTATCAGACGGAACTCATTGCAGTGTTGTGGGTTTGGCTTTTTTGGTAGTAGGATGAATATTGACTCCAGCCAATCTTGGGGTATTTTACCTGTATCATAAATGCGATTGAATAAAAGGACAAATAATTCGATATTTTCTTCACTGATTAATTTGAACGTTTCTGGGTATAATCCGTCTGGACCTGGGCTTTTATTTGTTTTGAGATGATTAATTGCATTTATGATTTCAGATTTCAGAATTGTTGGCCCTTCGTTGTTATTTTCCAATCTTGGTTCTTCTCGTATGTCGTGAAAAAGAATTTTAATATAGTTTTCCCATTCTTTCTGTTTATCTTCCGTTGATTCTAGCAGTTTATCATCCGTGTTCATCATGGTGTGAAAAGTCGTTCCTTGGTAGTCGATGTAAACTCTTTTACCTTTTTATGTAAATTAAAAAAAATCTTTGCCTTTTGTTGCAGTTCTTCTATTTCAACGCATTTTGTTTCCAGCCATTTCTCTTTTGCTTCGGTTATTTTTTTTTTCGAATTATTCTATTTAGTCTTTTGTATTCTCCGTCCTTGTCAGTTTTTCCTTTAGATTCTCTTCGTTTGTTCATTAATTGTAAAATCTCTTCTGTCAGCCATTCCTGTTTGTTATTTCTAGGTGTTACTTTTAGATGTTTTTTCCGTTACATTGTTCATTTGTTCTTTAATAGTTTTCCACAGAACGATTATGTCATCGTACTCGCTAATTCTATTGTGGTCGATATTTCCTAAATTTTTGTTTAATTCTTTATTTACTATCTGATGTATGGTGTCGTTTTTCAATAATTGGATGTCTAATAGTTGGTGTTAGGGTTTCTGTTTCTTTATTAGTTTACATCTTACGCGAACTTTTGCAACAACAGGATTATGATCGGAATTGATGTCAGTTCCAGGATATGTTTTTGCACTGATGATTGCATTGTGATATCTTTTGTTGACTAATATGTAATCTATTTGGTTACGGATTACTCTGTTTTCATTGTGTTGTGGTGAAGTCCAAGTGTAAAATCTGAGTGGGTGTAATCTAAACCATGTATTTGTCACTACCATGTTGTGTTGTTGGCAGAATTCGGTCATTCTCTCTCCCCTGTCGTTCCTTGCTCCAAGTCCGAAGTTTCCGATCAAGCCAGAAACTTTTCCTCTACCTAACTTAGCATTAAAGTCACCTAAGATAAATGTTAGGTCTCGTTTAGTATTTTTAATATGTATTAAAAAAATTATAAATAATTGAAATATTAAATCTTTACTGCCTTACTTCAACCAATTTTTTCCATTTACTTCTGTCGTTCCATTTCCTGTTTAACATGGCTTCCTCTCGATTTCTATTTTTGTATTCATCTTGTTTCAGTTCCTTTATATTCTTTGTGCAGTGGTGTTTTTCTGACACCTATTATTCTTTTTGTGTTTTCAATTTGTGCTTTTCTTCCAAAGTTCGATCTGGTAAGCCCAAGATCTCAAATATCATATTGTTATTCTTGATATTTATATCCTTAAACGGCGTATCCTTGATATGCCATTGAAGACGACACAGAAACCCTTAAAACCAACACAGAACATTTAGCAGAGATGTGGAGATTATATTGCCGGGATCTATCTCTTATAACTGAACTATACGAACACACTATTGAAACAGTTATAGTACTTGACACACTCTCAAACGAATTCCATCCAGAACAAGCTGTCATCCAAGAATGTATACTGTCCCTATAATGATTTAATATATATGGGGTGCCTATTAGGAGAAGAGCGCTTGAAGGATCTGAAAAGGCATATCAATAAATGACTGAAAAATAAACAACCTACTTTTGCAGACGACACAGCCATTCTTGCAAATATTTAAAAAGAGGTAATTGATCTCTCCCATACGACTGGTTGAAAACTACAGTCAAATATTTGGTCTGCAGTTAAAAATATCAAAGACAAAGATCAGGATAGTGGAGAAGAATGTTGGGAATGTCGTAGACAGACCATAGAATAAATAGTTCAATTCTAAATAAGCTAAAAGTCAGCAAACGGCTATCCAGCAAAAGTCTGACTCCAACAATTAAAATACTTTAGACATGTTACAGAGAAAACATGGAAAGACTTATTATATAAGGAAATGTAAAAGGCCGAAGATCACAAGGAAGATCCTCATCAAGACGAATCGAACAAATTACAGAAATATGCAAAAGGCCTATGCAATAAATGACCAGAGATAGAGACATCTTTGAAGAGGGGCAATCACAATGACTCTTACACTCCCTTTGGGGGTCAGAGAGATAGCCTTGATCCTTCCTTTGCATTTTTCTTATCTAGTAGTTGTTTTAGTGTGTAAATTTGGTCTAAGTATGATCTACTCTCGGTAAGGTAGCCCGTTTTCCACCGAATATCTCTTTGTTTTCTGTATTCTTTCTTTCAATATCTCTTCATAATTGTTCCATTGATGATAATATACTTATTCTCCGCGTTTGTTTAGTTTCTTTTTATTTCTTTGGAAGATCTTCCATTTCTGTGAGCTTTACAGCTGGAACATCTTTTAGGATCATTCACCAGTTGAAACAATGGCTAAACTACCCAGATTGTTTTCATATCGCAAGAACAAAATATCAAGAAGCTTTTAGTAATTTAAATAATATTAACTAGTATTTAATTTCAGGAAAGAAAGCAACTGGGAACAGGGTTCATACTCCACCACCAGCATCTCCACGACTACCCGCTCCAGGAGATTTGTGTGTCGATGGAGCCGCTTCTTCAACTCCGAAAAGACGAGCTTCCTCACCGCTAACAAGTTCAAGTCCCGAAGAGGATATAAAACCTTTAATCAAACAAGAAAAAATGGATAATACCACTTCTTCCGAAGAAAATAGTTGTAAACGGTCTCGAACGGAAGTTGCTGATGCAGAATCAAATACGACGCATAGTGGTAAGTAAACTAATGCAAAATTGTACAAATTCATTTTTTTATATAAAATATTATATTCATAGAAAATCTGACAGAATTATATTGCTTATACTTTTTATTCATTGTTTAATATCAATGGTATTTTATAACAACTATTCCATTCTGTTCTACCAGTGTTACGTAAGAATCTGTTCATTTAAAGTGTTTTTTTATTAACATATATTTTGGATAAATTAACTATCTTATTGTAATCAATACTGTAGAGTGGAAGTTTTAGAATTTGGGTCATTTACACTCGTAAATTTCTCTACACTGCGAGCTGAAAACTCCATTGTATGTATCCTACGTATCCTACATAATGTGATTATTCTGCAATAAAGTTCTCCAAAAGAATGGAGAAAATCTAAAATAATAGCATATTTTAAAACCAAATAAAAAATCCAGAAAATCGCAGCAGCTACAGACCTATTTCCCTGTTGTGCCACTTTTTCAAACGAAACGAGAAACATCGGTCAAGAGGAATTCATATCTGGCAAATGTTGCATCGGCCAAGTACTTATACTAGAGATATGGGCTATGAACAAAGCCATACAGAACATATTGGAAGCATGGGAAAGAAAGATACTTCGCAAATATTTGGTGGAAAAGTAGTAGAGGGAGAATGGAGAAGACGAACTAATGTAAAAGTGTAGCATTTGTATGCTAACTCTATAATAACAAAAGTGACGAAAAAACGTAGACCAGAATGGCTCGGCCAGCTAGAAAGAATGCAAGGTAGTAGACTACTCAAGAATATTGCTTGGAGAGTACCTGAGGGAAAAAAAGAGAGGGAGGCTAAAAAGAAATGGAGAGTTGTAGTGGTGGAAGATGTCAGAGAGATGGGAATCACAGATTGGAAGCTGATAGCTAAAAACAGAAAAAGATGGAAATTATATCCAGTAATTGGCCTAAATGGCCTGTTTACGCTATACATACATTAGGTGTTAACACTTGCGGCCTTTAAATAAATCTGTTAGGTATTTTATCCATGTAGTTGTACTTATGTGTACTTGCTATCTATCTCATTGACTTATGATCTTGATTTCTGCTTGTTCGTCATATTTGCTTCCCACCTGCGTTCCCAACTGCTGTGAGCATATTCCTTGTAGTCTCGATTTATTTTACCTTAGGTACTTTTCATTCCCATAATTTCGTCTTGGTAGGGATCAATGAATGAGCGTTCACTAGCATACTAGCCCATATTTCTACCTTACTAATCATTCATTGGCAGACCATCAATATTTTATTGATGACCTTCAAATTTAAATCCGCAGACTCTTTGAAAATTTTAAAAGCTTTCTCTGACTAACGTGTAATTTAACTTATCAACGCATTAAACTACATACTTCCAATTTTATCTGTTAGCCCAAGTGAGCCACTGAGTAATCTTGTATGTATATTACATACACTTAGATTGATATAATGTTATAAGTTTTTGTTATTGGTCTGTCTAAATTTGGTTTTTTAAGGTTACTGCTTTATATTTTTATTAACATGTACTATAAACGGATTGTTACACAAAATTTGAAGTAAATAAGTGCTTTAAATAATCTTATACAATAATCGTCTTAATTTTCCAAGTAACGATCTTTTGGTGGTATCTTGAAGTAAAATCGTTATCAAAATTATGCATTTGATTTAACCGTTATGCTTTAATGCAACTCTTCATCAAAATATATTGAACGTTGTAAAATTTACCAATTTATCCTAAAAATGTTAATGCACTTTGCGTGGTTAATAAACTCTAGCGAAATACAAGTTAAATAACATGAAACTAACGGTTTTAGTAATTGAAAATTTTAAGTTAATTGACACCTTTGGCCCGAGAAATGAAATATTGATAAAATCTATAGATGATACTATGATTGATTAAAAACTTTTTAAAATTCAAATCGATTTAAAGAGTATCGTGAATATATTCTGTTCTTAAAAAAAACATATGTAATTACAAAGTGGACTCTGCCATAAATGCATTTCTTATCTGAAATAGAATTACTTTGAACTCATTCCCTGCCAAACCGTTAAGCCATTGTTTTTAAAATAAGTTCTTTGCTATATTTGCTGTTGTGTAGGCTTCTTTTAGACATCAGTTTTTGTCAACGGCCAACATTCCGTCAAAGAACATACATGCTTGTATAGATACTAGCGGAGTGACGTGGCCTTGATCTTTAATCGATGTTTCTATAGACTACGCCAAAACGCAGAGATAGAAATAAATTTCTAGATAACAGATGAATAGTCGGTAACGTCTACATACCTCAATATAATAGGGTAGGCTTCACAAACTGATGGTCAACGGATGAACGCTTGAAGATTAAGCAATAGTGTTTAACCCTCTCTGAGAGACTTATCATGTCTATACCATATCCGTTAGAAATAAAATTCGCGTGACACGGTTGATTGGGATGGGGAGGATTAACTTGTGTAAACAGGAATCACTCCACCTCGCCTCAATGTTCCAGACCATCCACTTCTCCCCGGATTAGCATTCTGATGCTCTATAGAAGCAGTCTTATCAGCACAGTGCTTATTATGTGGGAGTCCTGGGTACAAGGACTCCTGTACGAAATCGTTCTCCGAACAATGCAGACCAGCATAAAACGCTTTATTCCCGCTGTCTGTAGTGACTTATCTTTGATCTGTTTTGCTTTCTCGGATCTGGGTTACGTCCAGTTCGGTGACTCGGCGTTGGAGAGTGTGGGTCCCTCTTGCCCATTTCTTGGGTTTTAATAGTATTTTTTTTTGTGAACTGCGCCTTTTGTTGGTGTTTTATTTATTGTTGTTTGATGGCCGAAGCCTTTTTGTAAACTTATTTTAACGGCTGTCTAAACATATAAAATCAAGATTAGTAAATACACTACGATGCCAACGATGAGCGCATTGTCTTCTTAGAGTCCTGATTACCTAGACTTTATTAACTGTTTACTAATATTTGCTGTTTAAGTCTTCTGAGGTTCCATCTATGGTACACATCATAAATTAATATCTCAAGCAAGATGCTGTTTTGGATGGTCTTTTATGTTAACAAATTTTGTTCTATGTGACTTATCTGGGAACGTTTGCAGCTTCTCTAATGCAATTGTTGTGTGCTTCTTGAATCTTCTTTTTGTTGCTATAATATGAGTACATAATTGTTGTAGCGTTAACATAATATGGTATAAATATTAGCCCTTGTCCATTGCGACTCCTAGGTATTTAACTTCGTTTTGCTATTCCATGGGTCTCTCTTGCACGGTTAGTTGTTCTTTTGGGTTATCTTTTCTCTTTTTTTAAGATAACTGTTAGGGGCTTTTCTAGATTTATTGCTATTTTTCATTGGATACTTCATTCTTCTATAAAATCCAGTGCCGTCTGTAGAACCAGAGCTATATCCAAGTTCCCGTGTTTTGCCGTGTTTGCAGTGTCGTCTGTATAAAGGCTGATTAAAGTTCCAGGTGTTTTCTGGAACATCTGCTGTATATATCATCTATAGAAGGGGTAATAAGACTGCCTCCGGTGGCACTCCAGCTTTCGGGACTCCGTGTTCAGATAGAACTGCGCTTATCTGGACTTTAAACCTCCTCTCGTTTAGAGTTTCGCTGTATCTCTAATCTCTTATCTTGTATGTCAGTCCTTTTATGTTACATTATGTCGAAGACTTTGCTTACATCCAAAAAGGCTGCTTCTGTATATGGTTTGTTTAATTCAACTGCTATATATTCTGTAAGTATCTGTAGATGGCTGGAATGTTGAGCTCTGAATCTGAATCGTGCTTTTGGTATTAATCCTCTGGGAAGTTAAGAAAAAAAAAGAAACACGGTCTTCACGATATCTTAATTATGAATCTCATTATCCATTCTCCCACAAAAAGTCTGTAATTATAAGTATTACCGACAGATCTAACCAACAACTAACGATTCTTTTAGCCAAACACAACATTACAGTAGCTCACAAAGTCAACAACCTTTTAAATAAATGTTGTTTACGAGATACTATGTACTAACTGCGAAGGTGTCTATATTGGGCAAACCAATAGCTTAGCCTCAAGTGCTTTAATCTAGAATTCGTTCTCACAAATATGACAAGAACAACATCACTGCGCTCACAAAGCATGAGAATGAAAAGAAGTATAAATTTGACTTCGAAAACATTAAAATTTTAAAACCAAGCAAAACAAAATGAAGTGGGAGATATACGAATCAATAGAAATAAAAAGAAATACTAATACAATCAATGACAAAAAAAATACACAGTATCTAAATATATTTCCATCTGATTTAAATAGTAATAAATATAACACCATAAAAAACTCTTAAAGTAATAACATATCTCCACTTTACCGTTTTTGAAAAGACCAATAATACACCCAAGTAAAAATAATTATATACTAATAACAGTAAACCATGAGATATAAGATATCAATTTTTACCTCTCTTAGTTCATTAATGTGTCTCCTTTTTCGTTTTGGTTAGTTTTTTTATTATATATTTTACAACAACTTTTTAGGGTAAGGCAAGGGTTACCTGTCGAAACGTTGATTTCAATGGCACAATAAAATCAAGTTCCAATTTTAATGTTACTTATTAAACCTAAACCCAAGAAATCCTAATTTTATATAAATAATTATATATTATTATCATATACAAAAAACTAAGCAAAATAGAAAACTATACTCTTCCCAAAATTTCGCAAGCAAATTCCTACACCCTCATCCAAATTCTATATTGGTATATATTAGTTTGTATTCCTCTTTTTTTTACTTTTTAAAATGCTGTACAGATAAAATCTAAAGTTTAAAGCATATGTAGCATGTGTCAAAAACATCGTCCACTTAACCCTTGCCATTTCGTACCCTACGGTTTTATCTAAAAGAGTTAGTGAAGCGTGATGAAAATTTTAAAGTTCTTTATTCATTGAAGGGTTTTTACTGACGGTCATCTCTTTATAACATGTGCAACACTACAGGGATCCGAAGACAAAAGTTGTCTGATTGCAGGATAAAT